AGCAATGGGGACTTCTTCGAGTACGAAGTAATTTACGAGGAATCAAGGTTAATGTAGGAGAAATTTGAGAATATATTGGAGGAATTAGATGCGCTCTACACGTCCCAGGGTGCTTCAGCCTATCCGCCCGACTGGGAAACAGGCTACGACGCCATTCAGGGGGGAGTACGGAAAATAGAGGCGGGATATCGGAGGTTAAGCTCGCATCGCGCCGCGGTTGATAATAACGCCAAATCTGGCTCAACCCCTTCGCTTTATCCGCCTCAACTTCCGGTCATAGACGTGCCCGTTTTCAACGGTGATTTGTCGAATTGGACGAGCTTTCGCGACACCTACGTGTCCCTGATCCACGACAACACCCACTTAACGCCGATAAGTAAAATGCATTACTTGAAAAATGCGCTTATCGGCGAACCGGCGTCGCTTCTCTCGGCGTTTTCATTCGATTCCGGCTCATACCAGCAGGCCTGAGACGCTCTCATGCGAGAGTATGATAACCCACGAGTTCTCGCGTCACGTTGCCTCCAGAGGGTTTTAAATCATAGGGCCCCTACTTCTGGCAGCGAGTATTCCAAGCATGCCGCTTATCTCGCGACTGTGGGCGAAAGTATAGCGAGCTTCCGCGCGTTGGCTCTGGAAAACGAAGGAGAAGTCATTATGTCCACCTTAGCTCTCCGCGCGTTGGACCCAGCCACCAGACGTCAATTTGAGCTCTCTCACGCGAACGGCGAGTTCCCTACCGCGGACGAAGTCATCGCTTTTGTGAGGCATCGCATGATGTCCTCAAAGATGGCCCGCGAATTTGAAGCGGTATCTTCCGACGCACCGCGCGTCCAGGAAGCGAACAGGAGAAGAACAGGAGTAACTTTGCTTACCGGCAAGGCGGATGTTCGTCCCACCACGTTTAAATACGCGACCTCGCCTAAACAGACGTCTTTGGACAGGAGTCTGAAGAGTGGATCCCGACGCCGACGGTCACTGGAGGAGATTCCGCGGAGTAAATCCATCTCGCCCAATAGGGATCCGTGTCCTCACTGCAAGGGGAAGCATCATCTGGCGCGGTGTTTCAGATTTCTTGCGCTGTCAATCGAGGAACGCTACAAATTCGTACAATCGTATAGTCTCTGTTATAACTGTCTCAGATCCGGCCATCGAGGTTCGGAATGCTTTTCCGCATTTACGTGCACTTTTTGTCAAGAAAAGCACCATAGCTTGTTGCATGAAAAAAATCGTTCCGACCTGAACACTAAGGAAACTTCCGTGGGGGCGGGCGATTTCGTCGGTCACGCTCGCGGCGCCTCTGTTTCGTCCGACTTCTCTTCTGAGGCACTAATAGGCACGGCACAAGCGGTGCTGTCCGGGTCGAAGCGTGATGCCTCGGCGCGTCTTTTGCTGGACTCCGGAAGCCAGTATACGTTCATCACCGCTCAGCTCGCGGCTCGCATTGGCAGCCCGATGCATCCTTTCGACGGCAAGATTTTGGGTTTGGGTGACAGTCCTGTCGGGAAAATTATAGGTTATATGACGTGCAGGCTCGGCGCGATCTTCGATGACCGTACGAATTTCAAGGTGCGCGCTTTGGTGGTGGACCGGATTACTTCCGATATACCAAAGCGCCCCTTACCCACTGGGTTGGTTCGTGAACTGTCAACCCATGTTTTGGCAGACCCGTCCTTCGGAGTCCCGGGTCCTATCGACATGTTGGTAGGTGCCGATCTATATCCTCGCCTTCTCACTGGTGCTCCCACCAAGGCCTCAGTGGATAATGATCTCTATCTGCTACCAACTCTCCTCGGGAACGTCGTCATGGGGAATATCTCGACTAAAGCTTCATCACGGGTCGTATCCCTGTTAACCTACTCTGAATCGCCAGTATCGGTACGGGTTGGAACATTTCGGAAGCCGGAGAAACTTGGTCCTGCGAGCCGTAGCTTCGTCGCGAGCTCCCATACCGATCAAATATATCGCCCTCGTACACGGCGTTTCAACCATAACAGAGGAAGGATGCGCGTGTCTGTTAGAGATAACGACGTTTCTGTATCCTGCCACTAATTTCTGTCCGTGAGGTTATCCTTGCGAGCCCGCCGTAAAGTTTCTCGCTCACGCGATGGCGGACGGGCCAGGACATAGTTCCGTAGTAAGTCCCGTAATAAGGTCTTGTTTCGCCCTTTCGATAATCGCTCCTGGTTTTTTTTGGTCACTCAAAAGCCGTTTTTAGCCGGAACCCACGACTTAAACACAAACGTGACGCTTTCACGCCGGAGCGTCAACAACTACTCACAACATCCTTCGCGAACTCCCTTCTGAATGCACACATCGCCCTGGCGCAGGGAGTGTGAGTCGTAAGGGAGTAACCACTCGCGTTAAGTAGGCTTAACGACATCATCATGTCTGCCACTTAGCTGGAGGCGACCTATGCACATTCGGCAACATCATATTCGGTATTAGCGCGATCGGACGAATCTAGCGGGTTTTCGACCCCATTTTCGCGAATTTTTCAATTCCATTCGGTCTCATTCGCCGCTTACCAAAACTCTCCTGCCGGAGAATTGATGCTTGCCAAAGGTCCATCCGTGCGTTTGGTTTACTTCGCGATCGGCGTTTTCGTTTCGTTTATACGTTTAATCATTTTGCCGTTTCCGATCTCACAATTCGCGGATTTTCGATCCCGTGTGGTCTGGTCCATCGGTCACCATAACTCTCCTCCCGGAGAATTGGTTCATGCCAAATTTTATTCACATCGTGTGGATTATTTTTTGGGACTACGTATCGGTGGAATTGCGAGGTACACATTTCCCCTCGCAATTGCGGCTGTACTTTTTCAAAATGTTCCTGGGCTTATCTTGGTGGGCGGCAGGGTTTTCGCGGCGGCGAGTTTGTGAGACGATTCATACCTTTGGTAGAATTGGCCATTGTTCAATATAATAACCATTGCCAATTTATTGATGTATATATTCATTATTTATTCTATAGTATTTATTTATTTATTTATTCATGTAAATATTATTTATTTTACTTTGTAAATTTGGATGCTGGAGGCAATTTCGCGCTCTTGTTTACTGCCTCTCCCCACTTCGCTCTTGAATTTGTTATCTTTGCTTATCATTGTTAAATCTGGCTGAGCCAAATTTAGGTGGGCGGTATGTTGGATTTACATCCAAAATTTTGTTGTACAGTATTTTAAATTATCGTTGTATAAACAACACGGGGGGACCCCCGGTCTCAACTTGCACTACCCCCTCTCTAAGACGGCCTTATCTGCGGCCAAAAGACAGATGCTAGCGAGCGAAGAAGGCAAAAGGGACTGCTGACGACCACCTCCTGACCAGACCTCGAGAACTACAGCCCTTCGGCTAAATTCTGGACCCGCAACGGCGGAGAGAGAGAGAGAGAAGGCGCGAGACCGGCCCCCTCATCAAACTGTACGTAAACCTTTATACATATATTCACAAGTATTCCCCTCTAGAACATTTATTTATTTTTGTATCTCTCAAGAAAAGGGCTCCCGGTCATATGGCATGTACCGGGCCCCCAATATTGAACAAGCGTTGTTATAAAGTGGCACTTCCGGTTAGCCGATTTTAAGAAAAAAGGTGCCGTCACATCTAAGGCATATACCTATTTTAAATACGTAATATCTATACATATCTAAAACGTAATATCTATACCTATCTTAAACGTAATATCTATCCCTATCTTAAATACGTAATATGTTACTTCACCTACGTCATATAATAACTACTCCTAAAATTTCATTTTTTTGTATTCACTTTTCCGCGGTTTGTTATTCACAGTATTCGTTATTTCTTTAAAATGCCTTGCCGCTAAATTTTAATGGTGTAGCTAAAATGCGAATAATAAGGTTTTCCGATCCATCCATTAATAGCATATGTTTTCTTTGAAATTTAACCGGAACCGCGTTGAAATGTTACAATCAAATCTGTAGAAATGACAACAAACGGCTAAGACTCTAAACTCTATTTTAAAACCGAACTCCTAGTAGGCATTATTGAACTAAGCGACATTCGATTGGATTAATGTTCTCAGAATATGAACTTACAAACTCGCTGCTCTCGGTTGTGGAGAGACTTTCTGATTAATATCTTTGTATGAAGTATGTCCGCATCCGTTATACACAACGACCAGTATGAAGTCATTTAAATAGTAAAATTATTAAAAAATAAGCTGAGATTATAAAATTGTCCGCGTAATATATTGATAGTATAGAGTGGTGACATAGCTACCTATCCAAAATTTTTGAGATGACGGTGGCACGATGTAGAATCAAAAATGGACACTCCACAAATAAAATCTCGGAAGTTTACTGGCATCCGAGGATTCAATTCAAACTCCGTCAATTTCTATTTCCTACATATTTCATAATTATTCGTTATGAATCACTACTGATAGAACCTTCAAAGTAAATTCATAATTTGACCTATTCAACATAGAGATCGACCAATATCGAAATTTTGAACAAAACCGACACGGCCGATATATCCATATATTTTTCTCTTTTGTTTAAGTTTTGTACAGTCTCACATGGAATATCCTACTTATTACTAAATAAAAGAATTCACAGACCATTAACACATCGCCTTACACAAATTTTGACCGATAAAATAGAGATAAACCTATATTTCACCATAGCAGCCTTTCGTTCCTATATGCCAGGTTCTGTACAACGTCGCATAGAAAATTCTCGTGATTATTAAATAAAAATTTCTATCGATCATCTATATATACATGTTTTATATATATATATATATATATATATATATATATATATATATATATATATATATATATATATATATCTGTTTTTAAAATATTTGAATCGGCTAAAATTTATATATAGATGATCGATTGATTAATATATATATATATATATATATATATATATATATATATATATATATATATATATATATATATATATATAAAATACTTTTTTTTTAAGCTTCACTCCAAAGAGCAAATAGCGGGAAGAAAATAATATATATTTTTGTAACTTATTTATTTATTTTACATGAATATATGAAAAACAATACATATTTTGCCCAGACACTAGTTTTTCTCTTTAGGTATTTTCACAATCGAACGAAATTTCCTGCAAAGTTACACAATAAATTAATTAAATCATATATGAGGTTAATTAAATCATAGATATGGTAATAAAAATAAATCCAAATTGAAATGTAGGTAAGGGTTGTTACGATGTCAATAGATAGATTTGATTTAATGTTTTTGGACGTTTGCTCGACTTAATTATCCTATAAGGAATATTCTTTATATTGATAATTAAATAGTACTTATTATTTGTTACATGAGTTCTTTTAACTCACTAATGAATAAGATGTTATGAATTGAATGGATAGCAAAAAAAAAAAAAATACAGAGCAAAAAAATAAATCATTAATCATCCAGACCAATCTCGAAAATTTGAAATATAAATCTAACATATCTCAACAGAATTCATGTATCTGTTGAATTTATATCTGTATCCCAAATCATACTATTCATAACAATACTAATATTTATTATATCTATATAAATATAAATCTTATGAAAAAACAGATAATCTAACTTTTAGTAAAAAATATATTTACTTCCATAACAGGAGTTTTCCAATTCCATCATACATGAGTTGCTGAATTCTCGCTTCTCAGTTTTTCCTGCACGAGTCTCAATACCCCAAATCGGATCGTAGCGGTCTAAGCATCTGAAGTTACAGCCATTGCTCGTATCAACTGATGCTGCAGCCAAGCCGAGGACTGAAAGTAACATAGCATTTCTCAATACCATATTTGTATATATATATATATATATATATATATATATATATATATATGGGAAATACTAATCTTGATTTATAATAAGGTAAGTTGTGCATTTACTAAAGCCCATCTATCAAGAGGCTGGAGGATTTGAAGTGTGAAAAATGTTAGATATAAAAGTTTAAGGAACAATAATTTTACTTTTTATGTGCAATGATTTGATATTCTAAAATACACCACAAATCTAACTAATTAAATAAAATAAGATTAAATTAAAATCTTATCTAAATACCTAAAATATATATTTAAAAATTTTAAAAGCCTTTATCTTTAAACCAATGAAAACAAAAGCTCATATTTAGCTACATTTTTTTTTTCATATTCCCAATTTATAAATAATATTAATAATGTGATTTGTTATAGTTTGGTACTTTTAATGGTACTTTTTCCGCAACTGTGTTACATTTTAAGACTTTTAATTCTAATTACCAATATTTTGTGAGTTGTTTACAATTTTTTAAGTTGCATGTATGGACCTAACGCGGATTATAAATAAGTTTGACTTTATAATATTTGTGAGAGTGGGCGTCTAGAATCTATTTACCTACCCTTCTGAAACTAAGATAATCTTCATAGTAATCAATATGAAAAACAAATGTTTAAATTTAAAGTTGAAATTGACGTTTCTTAAATACAATGTAGTAATAACGGTTTAATAAAAATCTTCACAGAAGACCAATGGAACTAATATATTAATTAATTTCAATAATAAATCAAATAATTAAAAGGTTGGGAAGTTAGTTGTAAGTTGCAGTCACAGTGAGAAACTCAGATAAAAATAATGTAATACAATATAGTCAATATATTTATGAACAGGCTTTGAAACAGTTAATTATTTTTTTCTCAGAATCGTTTAATAATTATTATATTTGATTTTTAACTTAAAAATCGTGTCTGTTTTATAAATAAAAATTTAAATCTATCTTTGATGTTTATTAATTCGATTTAAAATTATGATCAGTTACTAACAGATACATACGGTTTCACATAAGGATTAAGGACAAATTGTGATAAAACAATTTTGATCAGAAATTAAAAATCCCCTTTTACTCACAAATCAAATTAAATACTAATATGTATGTACATATTAATTATTAACATATTTTTAGTGGTATATTTTTGAAATCGCTTTATTTTTGCACGCGATTGCATACATATAAATATATATATATATATATATATATATATATATATATATATATATATATATATATATATATATGTATGTATATTACGCCAAAATTACTAACATATTTTATAGAGAAGTTGTGTTTGAATATAAGAAATTAATATTCTCTATCTGCCAATCAAGACTCATAATATATCAAAGAGATTACAAAAAAAATATATTTATGATTTAAAAAAGTATTACTCCAAGAAATATATATATTTCTATATATATTATATATTTCTTTCTATTATATATATTTCTTATATATTATTGCTAATTCTAAAAAAAATGTTAAGCAACAATGATCAGGTCCTGATTTTGATCACTTATGATTAAAAATGAAAATAGCTTATAATAGAAATCATAAAATGATTTTTTAAAATATCGATGAGATTTGATTTTTTTAAATTTTAATTATCGATTTCGATCTCTGTTATAAGCACTTGATAGTTATTGGACGGGATGTTCTAAATGTACTTACACAGGACAATACCAAAGAATAAAATCAGCTTCATGTCTTCGACTCGAAGGAGCTCACAAAACTGCTGTTCTGATCTAAACTGTTCCTTTTATATCCCCTACCCGGAAAAAACTAATAGCGGGGATGTGATGGTGACACCTCATTATAACCTAACGAACTGACAGCGTTAGGGTTGTTACCTTTAGGGTCGGTTGATTTCTGTCAATGACTAAAGGAGTTCGTGGTATACAACACCTCTTATTGGAGCATGTATCAGTTGGGGCAGATCATTCCATATTCTAGTCGTGGACATCTTGTAAAAACAAATTTTATTTTAAGTAAATGGATCTCTCATCCAGCGCCTTTTCAGTCTCCTCATATTCGGGTGGATGTCAGATGTTGGCATAACTCTTATTAAACTGTAGTTATGTCCATTTAAGAGTTTTATGAAATCATCGGTTTACACTAGTACAAAATAGGCAGTACTGCAATTGGCAACTCTTGGTACACCAGAGTTTTATGAAATCATCGGTTTACACTAGTACACCAATCATTGATTTACTCTAGTACTTTGACTCTCCAGTAAAATACTGAGACTGGCTTCGTATGTTGACAAAGTTCACAGTCTTACAATTTAAAACGTAGCCTTGTATATAGGTAAGGCTATAATACAATCATTACAATAACTATAATACACTCCATAATAATGGAGCCTATAAACTACAGTACATTATATCTGTATACTGCCAATCATCAACTGATTTTATTTTATTTTTTTATTGTTTAAACTTTAAAACATGTTGATAAAAATAATGCCTAACAACGTTAAATACATGAGATTTATTTAAACTAATAAATAAAAACATTAACGCTGCGGGCGTTAACTGTTTTGGTGAAGCTTCACACTTTACGACGACTGTTAGAGTAATAATTTACTTAAGAAGTGATCAGCTTGTCTCACTGGAAAATATAACTCCAGTTTAAGAGCATTAAGACACATTTTTGATTCTTTAATTGAGACGCATTAATTTTTTGATGAATTGCTGGTATACTTTACTGATTATTTAATAACACTAGCGGGTCCAGTATTTAATTTTTTTTCCGGCGAGTTAAACCTGAAATATTTTTTTTGTATATATATACATGTTGCCGATATAGGAGTGGTTAGCGTGTTGTACTAGTAAAGCACTTGATCAAGCAAATCTTCCACGGCAACACGGCTTGCAGCGATACAGGAATCGCTGATGCTCTGCTGAGAGTCCGAGGAGATGTTGAAGAGCGATTCGCCGTTTTGCTCCGTTATGACATATCCGCCTATGATAGTTTATGGTGGCCCTGCATACTCCAACAGCTGCAAAAATATGACGCTCCTACCAATATATATGTCCTCGTGAGGAGCTATCTTTGGGACAGGCGAGTGAAGATCTGGGAATGCTTGAAAATGAGCGGTTCCCTACCATTCCACGGTTCCCTACTACTATTGACGACCTAACTGCATGGCGGGAAAGTAGACGCAGGGCGATGCGTCAACCTTGTTGCCAGATGGTGTGAGGGAAAGAATATGAGGATGGTTTCTGAAAAGACCCAAGCCATCGTCATGAAGGGTATTGATAGAGCACAACCCATCAGCATGGACATAGAAGGTCAAATAATACGCCCAAGTGAGGTGGTAACATACCTTGGTACAAAGTTAGGAAAATGCTTAAATATAACACCTAACTTGGGTTATCTAGCAACTAAGGTGACCCAACTATGACGATCTATAATGGCGTTGTACTGGGTATTTTGAGGTATGCATCTCCTGGAACAATAACATCACACAGAGACAGCGAAAAAGGCTGGCGTCAATCCAGAGGATGTCCCTGTTGTGTGTCACCAGATTATTTAGGACGTCGCATGAAGCAGTGCAGTTCCTAGCGGGGGCGGTACCTCTCGACCTCCTCCTGCGAGAAGATGTGACCAAACAAAAGTTTAGGATACAATTCAGGAATAGAGCCGTCTGTCGGTTGCTAACCCGGAAGTATTCATAGGAGATACTTCCTCACCGTACAATCGTGGCTAGATGCACAATGGATTATCCGGGACTATTTGGTTTCACAGTTTCTCACAGGGCATGGGGGTTTTGGTGAGGACATAGTTCCCTAATGTCCCACTTGTGAAGTTCTGGAGATTGTTTAGCACGTGATATGACATGCACTGCATTCGAAGGAATAAGTTCAACAATCATGAGAACTGCGAAAATTTACGTCCTAACTTCTTCATTAACTTCTTCAGTTGTTAATTAAGGAGAACTTCCATCGGTTCAAGAAATTTATTCATGGCTGGAAGGACACAGTGGGTCGAGCCCGATTTAACATTGGAGCACGAAGAAGAAGACCACTACGAAGAAGACCGCCGGAAGACGGTCACCCTTGATCAGAAGCCACCAAAGATAAAAACTTTTAAACTGTTTCGGTTGCATTAGGATGTTGTTGTACAGTGATGCATTACCTCCCATTAGGCAAGGGAGGGTATAATATAAATGTATAATATAAATACTAGTAAAACAAAGATCATAGGATCGAATCCCGGCCCTACTTTCCACTGCGGCTGGTCCCCGCGGATAGTTAAACTTTATTCCTTCCTAATTAGGGGAAGCTTTATATTTATGTGTATATTTTAGAGTTTAGACAAAATCATATTTTGCTAGAAATTTATATTTGTTTTAGTATTAAAGCCATAATACTATTTTAGTTGATTGTGTCCTTTACGATCCAGCTACTTTATTCTTTTGGAAATATTGAGCGACAATACCTCGATATATTTCCTTCTCTCTTTGCTAAAACGCTTATAGGATATCACCAAATGTAGTAAGTTCTCGACATCGCCACACATCTCGAAATTTAGTGTTGTCTTCATTTTTATGCAGTTTAAGAATTTATGTGTATTTCTATGGCTACTTCTCAGCCTTATAAAATTCGTTACTTCACTTCTTTCCATTCATATTCCAATAGGGGTGAACAAAGATTGTAAATAGTTTATTGGGTGAATTAAATATTCGTCTCTCCCTTTACTTTGAGACTCCCAGTCATATAAATTCTACCATTCGTAGACAATTGTCTTAGTGAACAGAGAATGTCTGTTTTGGATATTTTAGAATTAATGGAATTGTATTGGCAGTATCCGAGTAGTTTGATCAGCACGTTCATTTTCCTGTAGACCCAGATGTCCTGGTACCCACTGGGTCGGGTGATGTTCTCTTTATAATCTCTGGGTTTCATTTAAAAGAGTTTTGTTTACAGTCTGTATAGTTTTTATTTCATTTTGGATAATCAAAAATATCCAGAGACATGTGCCCGTTGCCGCAATTCTTGCATTGCACGGGTAAAGTGCATTTAACGTTATCGGATTATTTTGCCTCTCTAGATTGTATGCATACTTTTTTTTTTTACATTGGTTAGTCGGGCGATGTAATCCAAGACAGTTAAAACAACGCATGGGATTAGAAATGTATTTTTGGACTTTAACCATCTAAAATCCAATTTTATTGTTTTATATTTCATGGTTACAATCGGAAGATAATTTGATTATAAAATCGAGGAACAAGACGGTCTACCAAAATACTGGAACGTTTGGTATATATAAAATCTCGTTATTATGACATGTTAGGAATGGGGGTCACGTCAAACAGCCCAATATTTGTTTAGGTGCCCAAAATCTTTTTTCTAGATTTTGTGGTTAAAATATCTAAATCATAACTACCCTCCTCGTCGAACTGCTGCATTTGAGGAATCCATTGTAGTTCTATCCTCTGGAATTCTATCCCTCTCAATATCTGACAAGTCTGTTTTCTCTTTCAAATCTCTCCTCTTTAACCTATTCCATTCCTATGCTCGTAAGACTCACTAACTACCCCCAGATACTATTTCGTTCATTTATTTAATTTATCTTTCTCTGTTTATTTTGTATTTATGTATTTTTTTTATATTTCTATTACTTTTATTTTGTATTTGTACTTTATATTACCAATTATATTGTAAATATTTAATTTAAGTTATTGCCACACTAGTACATTTATTTATATTATGCATTTATAATTTGTTTGAAAGGACACTAGTCCCAAAATAATAAAGTTAATTCCATTTCAATTTATCTAACGATTGAAATGGAAAGTTAATGGGTATCCATGAGATTATGATAACTCAATTAATAGACAAAGTTTACCGATCTCCAAATTGAAAATATTTATAATGAAGACATTCACGAAGTTTTTGAGAATGTTAATAATTTGATACGAATGTGTCTGTACCATAGACAATAACAACTGTGATTGCCTTACAAATTTCAAATCCTAATCTCTACATATTTCTTATTAATCCGCTCGATCCTTAATGATAAAGTAAATCATAGTTTTATTTATTCAATGCTCATTACTAATTCTGATGGTTTTCCACAAGATAATATCCGAGGACACATTTTCTGCACTGTTTATACAGCTGATATCAAAACCGATTATGGCATTGTATTCACCACTTACGTTATTGATACATATGTGATATCTTTTCATAATGATTCAGCTGCTGCATTTCAAACTCTGCGCTCAATCTTCACAGGAATTAGATGTCACCTGGATAAATGATGTCATAACTGGCGAATTAAAATAAATCATAGCAATATTCCATCAAATCACCAATAACTTACGCGGTATACCCACTACATTTTGTCCTATAGTATCCTTTATTATTATTCATCTAATCTTTTTCCAATATACCCTCTACCAAGTGATTCTCGTACATGACTGGAAAGCCAAGAAACTGCATTTCGGATACCAAATTGTGAATAATAGAAGCTCATTTACATTATTAAAATCAACCATATTTTGAAGATTGGTTTGAGTTTTGATTGTCCACAAAGTTCTCAAATGTTTCCAATTTAAAATACTTCGAAAAATCTACAACGTTCCATATTTTTGGCAAAGTAGAATTTTGTGTAAAATCTTAACTCAGGAAAGTTAAGTTTTGTTTTCAGGAATGATCGGGTTGAGGATAAAATTTTTGAATTAAGATTATCTAATTCCTGTATGATCTCTCCTATTTTTAAATTTAACAATTTTTTTAAAAATTTAATAATGAGTTTC